CAGAAAATAAATTGTAAAAAATATTTGATGGTTTCAGTTTCATCAAATTTTTATTGAGCACACACCTGCTAAATACATTCTTAAATGTTTTGTAGCAATGGAGAAAACAGCTAACAACAGAGCCAAAATAGTTCCTGCATGTTTTTTCTAAATATTCTTCAATGATTAAAACAGGTGTTCTAAATATTCGTGAGGCAGCTGACAGTGACAGTGGATCATCTGTGCCTCAGTGTCTCGCTAGCCTTGTATGAATGAGGCAACAGCAATGCTGATGTTTGCAGGCATAAGGTGATGCATAGAAAACCTGCCAGAAACAGGATGGGGCGGGGGGAACCATACTGCACATCACTCATCAGCAAAATGAGTAAGGACAGCCCCTCAGAATCCAGCAATCCTGCCCAAAGAAAGGGATTAACTGATGCATGTGCTGGACTGGCAGGAAGCAAATACTATGTTAAAAAATAAGGCTCTTGGGCTTATTTAATTTGGACATGTGCTAGCTGTCAGTACAATACCACCAAGGAATGATTGTGACAAAGGACTTCATGCATTCAGATAGGGCTCCCCACAACATAAAAACACAAGGTCGATAGGGAAAACAAAATATGAAGAAAAATGGGGCAAAACCTCCACTACCTGTAGAACTTGGTGGGGTTGCTGACACGTTTCAGTATGTGTCCCTGCAGTTCCACCAGCTCACGGGCAGCACTGAGTAAACGTCGGCCTTGCTTTCTGCAGTGCTGCCTGATTCTGTAAGAACCTGATGAGTTTCTTTGAGAGAGAAGTTGCAGCTCAGTCTAGCTCAGCTGTACTCAATCTGAGTTGCTTTCCTACCTACAAACCCTCACTTCAAAGCAAGGAACATAATGTACAATTTTTTAATGGCTCTAGACCCAGGCACTCAGACTCTCTGCTCTGCGCCTTGCCTCAGTGTAAACACCTAATCAAGACTGCCCGTGCTTCAACAATAGCAGCCAAATGCAATTCGAGAACCACAAGCCTTTGAAGTCCTCCCTGCAAAGGCCGGTTTTCTACTCTGAGATAATGACATGCCGTGATTGCTGTCTTTGTTGTATCTTTTCAGTAGAGAAGCAATTATAGGCCCCAATTTAACAGAATAGACATTACACAGCTTATGATGCTCAAAATGCAATTTCATTTGATCATTTTCTCGATTTGATTGGTATTAATAGAATGGTTCACCAAAAAAAAAAAAAAAAATAGCCAGCAGAGGTTGTGTCCCATTCCACTTTCAAAGAGATAATGTAGAAGCGCGCTTTGCTCGGCGCAGGCCTCACCGGGTGATCCAGCCACGAGCCCCAGCCACGCAGCCCGTGGGCGAGATACCATACAGCCTCCATTTGCTGGGAGAGGAAGCAGCAGACAGTGCATTCTGCACTGGTAAACTTTTCATCAGAACTGTATAAACATCCCTTCATTGTCAGTGGAAAAATCAATATTACTAGTGATAAACAGGATTAGCTAAACCAAGTGCCCTTTACTTCTTAAGCATAAAAGTCAGGGCATCTACAGCCAAGGGAAAAAGGAACTGAAGCCTTTGTGATAACACTGGCAAACGTGGTCAAACCTAATAATTCATAATCTCCAGGTGTCTCTGGAGCCAGCACCATGACAGGGACCAAGATTGAGAATTGTTCTTGGCCTTGAGCAGTGCCCTGTAAAACTTCCATGTCTCCTGTGGTAAAGCTTTGCATTGGCAGAGAAGGCTAATCCATCCAAACATGGAGGTTACCTCCACTTGGAATCGAAGTCCATAAGTAAATAGTACTTTAACAGATTAGGTTAGTGTTTTTTTTCCAGAATCGGGAATTGAACTCAGGCCCTTGGGCTTACCAGAGAAATGCTTATTCCACTGAGCCATCTCCCCGGCCCCTAACAGAATTCAACTTAGAACACTTTCATTTGCCCACATAAATTGCAGGTCATTGTTTAGATACTTCCACTTCCACACCATGCACTTGTCTGTCTACAGTGTGCATGTATACAGCAATTGTGACAGTAACTTAAAGCAGTTATAGATGGTTATGAAGGGACAGAGATAGGGACCAGCAAAGGCACACTTTGAATAGGAGACACATGGTATTGTCCTTCTGTGCCGTGGAAGCCACACTGAGTGATGAAGAATGAGTTTGTCATCATTGGCAAATATTTTACCTATCACTAACGCAGCTTTTACTTCTTTCTGAATTAAACGCGAGGTGACATTGAAAAGGTAAGTAGCAGAGGGAAAATTTGAACACAGGCCCGACCGGTTCCAGTCCCATGTTTGTTCCAGACTTGTACCTGGCCACTTCTCACACTGTAGAGTCCTATAGAGGAAATTGCACAAAACAAGTACAAAGTCCTGCAACTAAATTTAAAAATCAGCTCCATCCATTCAGAAAGAGATTTAGCAGGCGAGGAGGAGTCAGAGAGCAGCCCCAGGGCCCAGGCATAGCACTGTATCACAGGAATGGCAGGAAAGTTCCAACACAGGTCCTCTGTGCAGGCGAAGGCACAAGAGGGACACCTGATGCCGGTGCTGCCAGTGGGGCTGTTGTCTGGAAAAGGATGAACCTACTATGTGTTACTCCAGAGAGGGAAGGACAGAAAACGTGGCCGGGTGCATTTCCATTCGGATAGGAAGAGCTTTCCGGTACCCAAGAGCTAAGTGACTGAGCAGCATGCATGAAGCAGGGATTATTTTCTCGTCCTCGAGCCATGGAAGGTATACACGCGCGTTCTGATCCTAGGGAAGCAGGCCCAGGCCTGGCAGCGGCCGGTGTGCACATCCAGGATCCTTCCAACATCAAAACTCTGTCGGTTAGCTCTAGCAGAGAATCCTGGTGGCTAGAATTAAATGTAGGCCAGAGACTAACTTCTTGATTTAAGACAGCAAGGAATGACCATTTACTGCTCCTGCCTGCCTTCAGCAGTGGTCCTAAAAGCCACCTTGCGGGGTGGACCCCCTGGAGAACATCCCCATACACACTTTACAATAAAATATATGGGGAGCTTTAAAAAAAAAACTAATATTTTAAAATTTAAAAGGCCACTCCCAGTGTATTAATGGGCCCAGGCTGGGATTAAACAACTAGTATATTTTAAAAGCTTCCTAAAGTTTTCCTAGTATGTAAAGTTCAGACTCACTGATTTATATCATTCTGATTCACTGAGTGCCAAAACTACGAAGTCTTCCCCCCCAAAAAAAACTAAGGTCCTGCAGGTTTAGGATATTCCAGTAAGTGAGGTAGATTAGCAAAATATTCAACATGGAGGCTCTGGAGTAGACCGCTTGGCTCTTCTCCTTGCTGTTGGTCCTGCACAAGTTTCTTAACTTCTTTGCACCTTAGTTTTGTTTTTGTTTTGTTTAATTTGCAAGGAGGGGACAGTGATAGCACAAGTGCGGTCAGGTGGTTGCAAGGACTGACGCCTGTCGTGGGCTGCGCGCCAAGGCGTGGGACAACTTGTTCCAGGAGCATCACGTGTGCGTACATCGCTGCTTCCGTGCGGCACCGACGTCCTGGGTACAGCTAACAGTGATGCAGAAGTGTGACCGTCCGTGCTTCCAAACATCAGCTCTTCAACTCTTTATTATAAGATAGGCTTTGTTAGGTGACCTTGCCTAACTGTAGGCTAATGTCAGTATTCTGAGCACATTTAAGGTATGCTCAGCGAGGCTCTGATGTTCAGGAAATGTTATGTGCACTTTCAACTTAAGATGGGTTTTTTAAACATTAATTTTATTGGTATATTTTATATACATAATGATCATATTCATCACAGAGAATTTGTACCTGTTCATAATATATCTTGATTATTATTTTCCCCCGCCAACCCTTCTTTCTCTCCTTATTTACAAAAGCTTTGTTTTCATTTTTCCCCTTCTATTCTGGGTTGTTTTTTTTTCCTTCCTTTCCTACTCCCTCTCTTCTCCCTTGTTCTGTTTCCCATTTAAACATTTTCTTCCTACTTCCCAAAATCTGTCATCCACTTTGGTCCTTATTTACATTTCGTTTCTTATACAAGAGAAACAATGCAATATTTAGACCTTTTTGCCCAGTTTATTTCACTTGAAAGTACCGTGTCCATGGGTATCCATTTACCTAAAAATATCTCAAGTTTTTAAGATGGATTTTTCAAGACAGCATAATTCAAGGAGCATCTGTAGAGTGTTATTTCATCGTAATTCTATAGACATTATGAAATGTTGCCTGCAGTATCTACCAGCAGGCAATATAACTTAAAATCGATGTCCCCTGAGTGTGTATGGAGTCTGTAAAGTAGACACGTCCACCTGGAAGCCCTGCAGAGCTAGCAGTGTGGCCCCCCAAGACTGTGATTGGTTCAGCAATAGTTTTGCGTGACTTGATTGTGTGGAGCTTGAGCCGATGCTGAGTGAGTGACCGTGGAACGCGGTGTGGGGAGGTCACAGTGCAGGACTAGCCACCTGCTGTGCCTGCCACACAGTCACTGCGGCCGAGATGGTATAGTGTGTCAGATGTCACGTGTACTTGGGGACTTGTGAGTATAAGGTAGTGATTGCCTGTAGGAGTATTTCAACGTACCTACATGAGTGTGTGTGCCTGCGAAGACAGGCATGTATTTTTATTAAGCAGGCATGTAAGTTTCCTTATTATTAAACTTGGGCTTATTATGTTATTTCATAAAACATTTTAATAAGTTAAAATACAAAGTTTTGCTACTTATGTACATTAACTTTATGTCTTCTACGCAGCCCAACTACGTTTGGCTCAGGTAAGCAAAAAGATTGGATACCCACAACCTCAGAGCAGCAGTGTCCCACCATACCTCCAAGAGGCAATATTGTTTATCCTCATTTTCCTTGGGAACAATCCAGGTCCCTGAGGACTGAAGCGATGAATTCTTAACATTAAATGAAAATAAAACCTAACTCCGCAGGCCCTCACAGACTGGCACCACATGATGCTAGGACTGAAATGAAACCAGTTAACATGGAATATGTTTTGCCCTCTTAGATCTCCTACCCCATCAGAGTAACTGGCAAGACATCTGTTCAGGATGCCAACGAGATTGAAAATGCTGCCACCGATCCCGAGGACAAATGGCACCAAAGAGCACAACGGCTAAAGGTCACTTCTAGACTGCTTGTTAAGTGTGCTTCAACTGACACTGCTAAATATAAGTAATGTTTGTTACTGAGTTCTTGGCACTTAAGGGCTTATTCTGATGTCTGAAAATAGTCACTCACTGTCCTATGAGGAGACTGCTCAGCCTTGCCATCCTTACCTATTTCCTAGAAGAACATCTTCATATCACATTTTAATCATGCAGAGTTAAAATCTCTCACAGAAAGAAGGCATGCAGAAAGCGCAAACAGAGGAAAGGAAAAAGAGAAGAAGAGACAGGAACAGAGATTTGTGACTAACTATAGATAGGGTAATTCTGTGTGTTTCCCTGTCTCCTCAGTCTGGGAGATAGCGTGGTGGTCTAAGTGCCAGCCTGGCAAGCACAAGGACCTGGGTTTGATTCCCCAGTACAGCATGCCATGCCAGCCCTGTGGCGAACCAGCCACCAAAACCAGGGCTGGTGGTACAGACCTGTAATCCCAGCACTGGGGAGGTTGAGGCAGAAAGATCACTACGAGTCCCCAAACTGCATAGTGAGACCCTGTACCACATTTTAAAAAAACAATAAAATTGTATATTGGAAAAAAAAAAAAAAAAAAAAAAAACTCAGTCTCAGGAGAAGGGAGGGATGCCTTCATTTTTGTCCCTTCTCAGGCGCCACCTCCTTTGGGAAGATCTCTCAGCCTATCCCCCGACTCAGGACCAGTCATATTTGCCATTTGTCTTTCCCTGCTGCCCTATAATGCCAAAAGCTCTTTATAGTTAGGACTGTGCTTTCCTCGGCATCCCTTACCAGGGTGCTGCCACCCAAGAGTTGTGCTAATAGTCACTGAGTGGTTAAAGCAACGTTAAAAGGTCACTAGTGTGTCTCCAAGTTAAAATAGCCCTCATCTGAAATTTCTTTTTCTTTTCTTTCTCCATACTGAGATCAAGCCCAGAGCTTCACACTTGCTAGGCAAACTCTCTGCCACAGAGCTATATCCCAGCCCTTTTTATTTTTATTTTGAGACAGTCTCATTGAGTTACCTAGACTGGGTTGAATTTGTGGCCCTCCTACCTCAACCTCCTGAGTAACTGGAATTATAGGTATGCACCAGCACGTTGGGCTGAAAGGGTTTTTTGTTTGTTTGTTTTTTTTTTTTTTTGAAAGATGACTTCCTAATAATCCACACATCCCTCAGTAAGCCCACCCTAGCAACAGATAATTCTCACTACTAAGAATGTAGCTATGTGCGAAATCAAATACAATTCACACAACACATATTAATTGGGTACCTATTCAAAGTACTACAGACTGAGTGGTTGGCTCAATAAGATATGATTAAAAAAACAACAAGGGGCTGGTGAGATGGCTCAGTGGTCTAAAGCACCTACTTAGAACAAGCTTAGCAAAGCACAAGGGACCGCAGTTCAATCCCCCAGCACCACATGTCAGCCGGCCCCGCCCCCTGGTGGGCTGAGCTGGCCACACACACACATACACACACACACACACATAAATAAAAAAAATTTTTTTTAATTTTTTTAAAAACCAAAATGTTTTTTAAATCTTAAAAAAAATAAAACTTGAGCCAGGGATATAGTTCAATAATCTAGCACCTGCCTGGTAAGCACAAGGTTCTGAGTTTGATTGCTGGTACCAAAAACTTTCCCAGGATCTTCCCATCTTCCTAGGTTCTTCCCTGTTCTAAACTAAAAAAGAAAATTGAAAGATTGTTTAATGATCCCTCTGGATCCCACTCTTCTACACATTCAAAACTTTAGAGGAGGGCTGGCAAGATAGCTCAGCAGACTAAGCACCTGCTTTGGCAAGCACAGGAACCAGGGTTTGATCCCTTGTCCTGCATGCCACACCAGTCCCACCCCTGGGTGCACTGAGCCAGTGACCAAGTCCAGCTGTGGTGGCACAGGCCTGTAATCCCTGCACCAGGGAGGCTGAAAACAGGAAGATCACTGTGAGTCTGAGCTGCATAGTAAAACCCTGTACCACATACATAAAACTGAAAAAAAAAATATTTCTCAATTCTGCAGACTGAAAAGACTCAAATCAAGAACTACCGGGTTCAGTGTCCACTTGGGGCTACGTGGTGTTTTGATATTACCTTTTCAGTGCGTCCTTATGAGGTAAAAAGGAATGATAGCACTGCCATGGACCTCTTCTAGGCGAGAACCGACGCCCTCTATTGCAGAGGGCCCTACCCTTGTTACCGGATCATCTCCGATAGGCCCCTCCTTTAAAGCCGTCACCTTGGAGCTTAGGGTTTTTCAGATGAATGGGGGGAAAGACACATCCCAGTCAGCCCACCAGGTTAGCTGTATCCTGTCAGGAGAAAAAAATCGAAAGTTCCCCAACTAAGTACACCTTTTAAAAGATGAAATAAGATCCTCCTTCTTGCCACTCTAAAATAAGTCTTGATTTCGTAGACAAGGAAAAGGTAATGGCAATATGAAAGGCACGTAGGACCTTTCAGGAAGTAACATCTTTGGATGACCCTCCCCCTCCCCCCACCACGCAGTCTTCCCAAAGAGCTCCGAGTGTGGTTTTGCTTCCAACACTGGCATTTGATCTACTTCTATTCATCTGATCAGAGTTCTTCCTTTCCAGTAGTGAAAATTAAAGCCAATTAGTGTCTGCTCATATTTTTCATATTATCTGATGGATTTGTAACTGAATCCATTGTCCTGCATGCCACACCAAAGGACTTGTATTTTATTGTCATGGTATGCACCAGAAAAACAGACCAGAGCAGAAGCTCCTCTACCTCAGAACTGATCCTGGGTAGCTCAGCGGACTAAAGCACCTGCTTAGACAGAGCACAGTGGCCAGGGTTCGGTCCCCAGCGTGCTGTGCTGGCCTGCTCCCAGGGCATGCTGCGATGGCAGTTAAGACTGGGCATGGTGGTGCGCCCCTGTAATCCCAGCGCTTGGGAGGCTGAAAACAGGAAGATCACTATGAGTCTGATTTACATAATGAGAACCTGTAGACCCTGCACTAAATACATTTTTTTAAAAAAAAAGTGATCCTGCAGGCCAGATGCAAATCTCAAGACTTGAGGGTCAAGGCAGACCACCAGGTGTGCTTTCTGGTTAGCCTCAGAGCTTGCCTTTTTCCTTCTGCCTAGAACATGTAAGCAAGAGATGTGTAAGCCCAAGACAGCCAGACACTGCTGTTCACAGTCAGGGGCAAGCCTCCCCAGGGTGGCACGGTACTGAGTGCACATTAATGACTAAGGACCTTCTTACTAAGAAATTTCCATCGCAGCATTTGGCATCAAGATTTGTCAGCGCTAACATTTTGTATGTGACACGAAAACCTACTGCCATTAAGCAGTTATTGTGAGCGCGTGCAGTATGTGCCGATTGGCAGGGCTGGTGACAAAAGGCGCCTGGCGAGAGAGCAGGATGAGATGGAGGATTTCAGCGCTTGATGGAGATTAAATAGCCTGAGAATGGCTTTGTGTATTAACTTCAGGGGGCTCAGGTCTTGCCACCTAAAGAGTGACACCTGATGCCTCCATTGTAGGGTAATAAATCTTCAGTAAACCACAGATCTCAAGTAGGCAGCTTGGAAGGTGAGAGAAATCCCATCAAACCCATAAATGTCTTCCTTTATGGAGACTGAAATACCATTTCTCTGGCACTTACATTTATGTGAATAGCAGATTTAACACTTGAGACAATTGAAGTTTGTAAAATGATGAGTCCTTGGCCTTGTTGATAAAGCACCCTGTAAAAAGGACTATTGTGAATGGCATCGTCAACAGCAAAGGTAACAAATGACTAAAATCAAGTGCTAACCCGGGATTTCCGACCTGGTACCTGAGAAAAGAAACCTGCTAAGTTTTTGTTCTTTTTTTGTTTTGATGGTAACGAGGAGAGAAAGCTGAAAGGTTATAGTTAGCGGAGGGAAGAGTTCTGAGTCATTTGTTTCTCTAGAGCGCTAAAGGCTGAGCGAATCTTGAGAGGATGACAGTGTCGGCAGTATTAGCACTCAGGGATCATAGCCAAGGGGGCTCGCAGGACTTCCGTGAGCAGTACGACAGCCGTGGCAAGCCCTGGTGCTTCCTGCACACACCGCTAAGACTGTAAAATAGCCATTTCTTTGGGATCCACTACGAGGAAGAATTCTTATGGGGTTATGTGTTTGCAGAGCCTTTTTGCCTAAATGTCTCCCATGCTGTTCAATATATTGCATGGGAGAAAGCTCATTTTTATCTGGATACAGAAAAAAAGTTTCCCTTCCCTTGGAGCCCTGCAGGTAAAAATGGGAAGTCTGCAGGAATTCATTAGCACGTGGCCAGTCCCACAGGAAGTTCACCTTCCAGAGATAACAGGACCGTACTTCAAGTTGGAAGTCATTCTTACTTAAAAATCTGACATAACAAATAATATTATATCTGACTTTCAAATTTAATCTCAATCTCTTTCATTGTAAGTGGT